ATTCAGCCAGTTTTTTACCCATTGAAGAGCGTAGCTGTCATACCTCAGTGGATGCTTTTCACATTGAGGATTGCAAGAAGGCATTGTCTGTGGTGGCCCTTCTGGCAGGAAACGTGCCATTAGCTCAGCAGCATTGCCTCAATTCAGAAAACCCTTCCTGCATGGCAGCATAGTTTGTATGTAAGTGTTGCCTGTGTGAAAGCTTTGTCTGAAGATTGAACATTTAATTGTTTTAACTCCCTGTCCCATTTTATGTTTTCTCTTAATACTTAATGAAAACTGCTTTTTCTTTTGTTCATTTTAAAGTAATGGGGAAAATACTTTTTTGGAGACCGAATAGGAATAAAAATAATTACAGTGTCTGTGTAAAATGATCTGTTTCATATCATATTTTGGATGTTTCAGAACCCCACTTATGACTGCTGCTTCTGGTGGGGAGCTTAATTTGATAAAAGTTCTTCTTCGCTATGGTGCTGATGTTTCCCATAAAGACACTAATGGATGGACAGCTGAGGATTATGCTGTTATTCATGGATATTCTAGGTAAATTTTTAAGTTTATCATTAGAATAAGTTGTCAGTTATCAATGTGGATTTTGAACATTTTTGGTAACAGCACCAAGGTTTAATGGTGTGTTGAGACGTGTTTTGGAGCTGTGCTCAATGACGTCTTCTGATATGTGTCGTTACTGTGTCTAGTGTTAATTTGGAAGTTGAGGAAAATTTCCACCCAGAATTCTGTTAGATTTCAAGTTTTGTTGCTAAGCTCACATCTGCCCAGTATAAACCCTAAAAAGTGTCTGTAGCCTACAGTTACCCAGAGGTGGAACCTGGCAAGCTGAAATGCATGTAAACCCTCTTCCCAGACCAGCACGGTTGTCCTTACTGACTTCCACTACAATACCAGGAACTACCAGCCTTTTGTTTCAGAGGAGATCTAACTGATACCCCTTTGGTTAAAATCTTAAGCAGTTCTACTCCTCTTATGCATAGCTTTGTATCTGTGGGTGTTCCTTCTCTAAGGTGGTTATGTGTACTTACAAGCTAGGCTGAAAAAAATGTACCAAGCAGGAGTTAATAACTTCATAGGTATGAATATGAATCTATAGAATGAACTTGACTGTAGTGAATATTAAAGTACATGGTAGTCATGCAGTAAGTGCTGTGTGTGAATACATACAAGTATATGAATTCATATGGCTATGAATATGTGTAGGATAGATAATAAGTGGCTGTTAGCTATTCTATTAAATAGTATATGTAAGTATGTTGTTATTTTTACCAAATATATTTCCTCCCTTTCTCTATATAGTCTTAGTAAACAACTGGCAGAATACACAGACTGGGAAGACACAGGAGAAGCTTCTGCAAGTGGTGTACAGGGTATCACGGTACTTAGCACTCCTCACCGGGTGGGAGCTGCTGGCTTTACATTGGGCGCACCTGCTGTGGACAGAGGAGGTAGGATCCTTAACCATGGAGGAGTTCATGAAGAAAATCACTGTGGCCTTTTCTTTAGGTGGTTTGTATTGTTAAAGCTTATTGTGTTCAACATTGACTTTAGCGGAGCCATCAGATGGAGTAGCACAAGAAGTTTTGTGAATGTGCTGATTTGTTGCTAGTTGGAGGTGCTTCTTGTCAGGCTGTGAAGGCAGTTGTGATTTGTGTGCTTATAGGGTTGTTGCCTTCTGCCCGTCAGATTGCACACCTATGTAGGTTTTCCTATAGGGAGAGAGAAGGGGGACAGGGAAGGAACTACACCAGAGTGTTTTTGTTTTTCAGATGCGTACTTTTACCTATAGATGGCCATTCAGATTGTGAAAATCCAATTGCAAAAGCAGTAGGTTCATCCTGAGTAGTTGTTCATCTTTCTGTAGTTGGGAAGTAACAGATGAGTTAGCAGGAAGATACATGTCTTGTTGATTTCCACTGAGTTCGTGTGCCTTTGTTTTAATATTAATATTTTCACCTGCACTAAGCTCCTTTTAGTGAGTCATCTTATTTCTCAGCATCAGTTACAATTGTTTCCATTTAGGTGCTGTAGAGATATATTTAGGAAAAATTGTTTTGGAAAAGCAACAACAATGCAATGTCTGTGTATACTGTATCTTCTTGGACATAGTTTGATTTACAATAAAAATAATGCTTTTCTTCCACTTTCAGTAATTTTATGAAATAAACTTTAAAAAATCTGTATTACCTTGTGATCCAGAAAAACAATTAAATTGCCTTGTGTTTAAAAAATTAACTCCTTCAGTGAGTTTGTAAAATCCAATCTATGCTTATGAGCTCACATAGCCCTAGAGGAATCTTAGAAAATTAATATTTTAATAGAAATGAAGTTGTTTTTCTTGTACTTTACATCTCAGGCCTTACAGTGGGAGGTTTTATTCTTTCTGGTTTTTTAAGAGTGTTGTTATCAGAACCATGTGGCAAATAGGCAGCAGACAGTGTTCAAACACAGTTCATTACTCCTTTTTTAAATATGTCAAGCAATATGAGCAAAACATGGGATACTTTTCTTCATTGACTTTTCCCAGATATGGGAGTTTTAATTTAGAGCCAAACTTTGTTCCTTTGACTTGGGAACAGTTGCTTTGATCTAGTCAGAGATTTGTAAAGTTTCTTGATAGATTGAAGGAAGCTTTTTTTTTTTTTGAAAGAGCTTGGTACAGGTTGTTTAATCAGCAAAATGTTGCTTTCACCCAAACAGCACTCTCTGTTACTGCCTCCTGTGCATGTAGATAATTTCTGTGGTACCACATAGTAATGGCTGACAGGCCTGGGTTATTTTAAAATATTTGGCTTGAATAATACTGTTGTGTGATTCCAAAACTGACATACCCTCAGGAAAATATGGGTTCTTGAACCAAATAATTTGCCCCGTTCCTTGAAAATTATAACACTACTAATATAAGTCCCCAATATATGGGAAATCTTTACTTCTTATCTTCATTTGAAGAGGCATAGTAAGTGTGAAGAGAATGTTACGTGGGTTAAGGACTTGGGAGGAGAAAGAGTATACTCTGTTCTCAATCTGTTTCTAGTAGGACTTGCTTTTCTTCTGAGTAGTGTGAATCCTTTTCTCCTTGTGCTCAGTCTCTTAAAAGATGACCCCAGCTTGTTGAGCGAGAGAGATTAGTAGCATATAGGGAACATTTATTGGCATTAATTCTGCAGTCCCTGGCTTGCACCAACAAAGCTCAGGTCCTGCATCATGAGAGTCCCTTTGATATGCTGCAGTATCAGGCTTTGAAGCCTCTGTTACAGGAGAAGCTGAGATGATCTTGAGAGACCAGAGAAGCACCCACTTTGGAATTCTTTTCTTTTCTTTTGCTCTTCTGTACTATTTTTCTGGGATCTTCAATGTTGTCCTTACTTCTTTTGCTGCTTTTGCACTTGTTGAACATTCTTCAAAATATTCTCCTCTAATGAGTAAGTCAGCATATTTAAGAAGTTGGCTCATGCTTATTTGAATGTTTACTTTTTGTCAGAACACGAACCTTTTTATTAATCACAGACAGGTTTGCAAAAACCTCCAAAAGAATGGCTTCCAGCCCTACCATATTAACAGACAGACTTTTTAGATTTGAAGATGGAATTTCTTTGGCAAAAAGTAATAATTATGCAATTTTTCTAAAGGCAAGGATTCAGATTTCTGGTATGTCTGCAGTGGCAGCTTTTTTTTTAGCTACTGCACTGCATATTAATGTATTGTTCCTTCAGTGTTTCCCTGAGTCCCTACAGAAACTGTTGGTTTTTCATCATAGAGCTCTTGGAAAAGAAATGAGTGCTTCAGTGTGATTTACATCTCCTGAGGTCAGGAAAAGTTGTTCTGTATCACCTTTTAAGAAAACTGAGAAGTGGAGAAGGGATGAGAAACCATCTTGAGGTCCTTTCTTAACTCTTTATGTGTGTGCTTTTGATAGGAGTCCTTTTGCCACATCCATTCCATGTATTTGTGGTAAAATCAATATAAGCAGGACTCCCTTCTGTTCTGAGACAAATCTTATGGCCTTGCCATGAAGAAATTTGGTGTCGGGTAGCTGCAATAACAGAACCACACCATTCGTTGACTTAAAATACAAAATTTTGCTAAGTAGGATGGCTAGAGCAGGTGGATAGTGATTTATATTCTAAAACTTCTGTTCCACAACACACAGACATGCATATGCACACAAACACACATGCATGACACTCACCTGTCAGTGCACCCGTTCTGGTCCAGTTGTGGCTTGTCCTACAGCGCTGGAGGAACAGGGTATTCATTCTGACTGTTTGTCATGTCTGTGTTCTGGCTGGTGGCGTAGCTTCTGTAAGTGAATAGTTCAGCATGGTCAAATCAATATAAGCAGGACTCTCTTATCTTCAAACTGAGGTAGGAGAGGCCTATGTTTGCATCAGGCACCAACTGGCACAACTTTTAAGGTGAGCTCGTTTAAGGCAACAAGTTTCTGGGTTGCTTTTTTAGTGAGGGGTAACAAACATGCTAAAACTGTAACTTGAGATGAGTGAGTGTAAATAACATAATAGCTATAAGTTGCGTGGTCATGGAGCCAAGATTTCCTTCAAAACTTCTGGATAGTGTATCTCCAAAGTTTAGTTGTTGGCACCTAAGGATTTTTGGGATGCTTAGAGGGAGGGATTTTAATGTATAAAGCACTCTACAAATATGAAGGAATTGCATTTGCAGTCTGTGCTAAATGAGGACTAGTCAAGTTGGCAATATAAAGTTGGCAGTAGAGTAAATTTCTGATAATCTGTTGCAATATTTCAAAATATTGGAATATGGGTACTTTACATGGAGCAAGTAAATTAAGTTACACTGTTTGACACTGTCCTTTGAGAGTAGAGTTGTGTAGATTTTGATTGGTTTTGTTTCTAGCACTTAAAACTGTGGAGTAGACTGATAGTCACAGTACATTCTTCCATTGCTATAGCTTTGTTGATGTGCTGCTTATGTTTTCCAAATTTCCGGGAATTCAAATTTATTCTGATGTCATTGTTTCATCTGTCCTTTCCATGCCTTTTCCTAAATGGATATAGGAATGCAACAATCTCCTAACCAGACATCAAGAACAGGAAAATCAAGGAAAGGTATTCTGCACAGTAGCATTTCAAATATGAAATATGTTGTATGATATACGAATACTAATACATCTGTGATGTTTTTTATCTTGGAGGACCCTATTTTGACAGTTTCAGTTTTATAAATTAGATTTGAGAGCAGGCTTTGGGCACTTCTTATTTGTTTGCATGTTTTGCATGAGTCCTTTATTATTGAATTGAGTGTTTGCTTTGTGTCATTAATGATAGTAAATAATTTTTTTTAAAAGATGTTCTTCTATTGCTCCAAAATGGAAATGGACTTCAATTAAAGTGGAAACAAGTAATCCCCAGAGACTGCTTTTCTAGATCCCATTTCTATGGTAGGGCATCAAGGTCTGTCTGAAAGCTAGCTCATGAACTTCCTCTATTGCTTCTAAAGGACAATGTGACCTGGTTTTGATCATTGCTTAAAGTTACTATACATTGAAAGCAAAAGTTCAGATAACTTACTCAGCTGGTTTGATTAATTATAACTGTACTAATTTAAAATATAACTGAAGTCACCTGTCAAGAGTTTATAACTGACTGCTCTACCCTATCTACCCAGCTCTAAGAGACAGGTTTTCATTCAGCTTGGGAGGTTAGCAGGTAGATTAGACTGTGGGTACTGAGTGAGTTAACAGAAGACTGTGGTATGTAAAAATAATTAATATTTTTAAATGTTATGTTGTGTAGGAAATATAATGTTGTAATAGGAAACATTAAAAATCAGAGACTGTGTTGATATTTTAACTGTTTTAGCTTGTCCTCGCGCTGGAAGTTTCAGCCTCTAGGTTTTGTCTACATGACATGTCTACACTGAACATGTATACTGTATTTCATTGTCTGAAAGCCCTATTCAGGTCAGGAGTACTCATCAAAGTTCCCACATAAACCCTGTATTTAGAACAGACAAAATTTCCATGCTCATTTGTGGTTTACTGGTAGTAGAAGAGATGTTTTCAGGCATGATATGCCTTTTTCTTTTCCCTTTAATGATTTTGTCCAAGATGATTGTCATCATGCAACATTATGGAAGGTCACCTATCTCCTGTTTATGAGCAACTTCATTTTGTTATGATAGTTAACAAGAATTAGTTATCGAGAGCTTGAGGAATTCTGAAATAGCTACTTTGTGGAAGTTATATTTGTTTCGTTTTTCCCTTCTGTCTTGGGAATTGAACAGCCCTTTTATTTCATCTTAGTTGTGATAGTTGAGAGGTTTTAGCACTCTTCAGGCTGGATTCCTAGAGTTCAGATTTCACTAGTACATCAGTGATGTGCTAGAGTGCACTCTCATCGAGTTTGCAAATGGCCCCAAATTGGGGGGATCAGCAGATACACTTCAGGGCAGCGCTGCCATTCAGAGGGACCTTGAAAAGCTGGGGAAATGGACTGGCAGGCCTGTCTTATGGAATTCAGCAAGGGCAAATGCCAAGTCCTGCACATGGAAAGGAACAACCCCTTGCTACAAAACATGCTGGACTGCCTGGCTGGAGAGCTGCTTTGCTGAGAAGGCCCAGAGTGTCTTGGCAGAGAGTGAGCTGAGCATGAGCCAGCAGGGTGCCCTGGCAACTGAGAAGGTCAAACAGTGTCTGGGGCTGTATTAAGAGCAGCACAGCCAAGAGATTGAGTAAAGTGATTGTCCACCCCTAGTTGGCACTCACTGGATTGTGTCCAGCTGCCTGGGTATAATTTTGAGCCCCCAGTCCAAGAGAGATTGGTCTTTCAACAGTGAGCAAGTTCAGTGGAGGGCCATCAACTCGTCAGGGGCAGGAGTACTTGCCCTTTGAGGAGACACTGAGGAAACTGGGCTTGTTCAGCCTACAGGAGAGGCAACTTTGAAGGGGACGTAGCAGCATCTTCCAGTACATGTGAGGAGAAGACAAAGCCAGGTTCTTTCCAGTGGCTCATGACAGGAGGCAGAGATACAGGAGGCATAAATGCAAACAAGAGTTTCTAACTGGATGTGAAAAGCTTCACCATGATAAGGACAGTAAAACAGAGAGGTTGTACGGCCTCCCTCCTTGGAGGTGTTCAAGACCAGACTGGATAAAGCCCTAAGCAACCTATCCGACCTCATAGCTGAGCCCGCTTTGAGGAGGCGGTTGGCTAAGAGACTTCCTGAGGTCCCTTCTGACCTGATTTATCCTATGATCCTACAAGTTGCAAGTTGCCTTCGTAACACTGGTGAAAGCTTGGAGTGTAGTATAGAATGCCCTGGTTATGCCCCTTTTGTCTGTTGAATACCCTTTTTGGTGCAGTGTGGAGAACTGCTGGTCATTCTTCTATCTGAGGATGAGCTTTAGGTCTTGATTACACTTTTTGATTTTCTGTACCTTTTCAGGATAATCTGTAACTGGGTAGAGCAGCAGATAGTGTAGTATATAGCATGATCTTATACATATTGTTACATAAAATAGTAAAATCTCTGAATGTGATGTGTACTCATGTGTGTAATATGAGTACTTCAGAGGTTCATTTACTTACTGTCTTGCTAAACCACCACCATTTGGTTAACTAACATAGCATATTCATGCTATGCTTTTTTTTTCAGTTTAGAGATGTTAAACTTCTAGGTGTAAGAGTCCAAAGGAGATATAACTCTGGTCTTTTTTGTCGTCTTTTTTTTTTTTTTTTTTAATTCAGTTTGGCTTGAAAAAGCAGTTGTTCTGGAAACACATTCATTCATGCTGTTTTGTGTTGAATTGACTACCCAAAGTTTCATTCTGTTACAATCTGTAAAGTTGTCCATGTTAAATGTTTATATGTACTGGTTAATTTTTAGCACGTCAAATCTAATTTTAACGTGTCAATTAATGTTTGAACAGCAATAGATGACTTTTCCCAAGGAGACTCAATAAGGTGAGACTTTAAAAATACCTAACACTTACCTGAGGAATTATTTGAGAGACACAGTACTCATTTTGCTTTGCTTTTTAAGAAGCTCTGAGAAGGAGGGGAGTGATGACAGTTGGCACACTTCTGAGGAGGAAGAACTTGATTTTACCCCCAAGGTATGGTGCCTTTACAGCAAAAATGTCCTGTAAAAATAAGTGATTTGAAGGCAAGTTTTCTCTGGGATTGAAAGAAACTGCAGTTCCAGCCAATATTGTTTTCTCCTTAGAAGCAGTCTCTGGCCTGCCAGCCTTTCTTCTGCTGTGAGTTTTTTCTAAAAGACCTGTAGCTGTGGCAGAGCATGCAGTAGATTTGTAGTTTGGGGCAAAAGAGCAATAGGTGACGAGATAAACAACCACATTGTTTTATTTGTTCTTGTTCATTTGAGTCAGATTTGCAGACCCTAAAGGTTTATAAGTTACTATTATAACCTATTCTGTTCTTCTCCAAACGTTGTTATTGTTTCCTGTAAATTTGGTGATAGAATCCTAACTGATAAAGAAAAAGGGCATTTATTTACTGAAATCCTTCATCACCTAGTTCTCCTTTCCTCCTCGTCAGGTTCCTCAAGAGCACTCAATGGACGAGTTACTTAAATGGGTCATCTTTTTTCTTCTATGAGATGGCATTCCATGCTTGCATGTAATCTCACACTGCATGTTTTCCCTCTTTTTTGAATGCTTGGGTAGTATTCTTTTTATCAGCTACAAGGTCTTGCGCCTACTGTTTTTACTAATGTTCTGAAGGGTTTTCAACTTCTGCAGTGATGTCTGGAGCATCTGTTCTGTTGCACTGGGATTCTGCAGTGATGAGGAATCTGAGTGTGGTAGTTAAACCCACTCTGTAATGCTGGAGATGCAAGCATGTTTAGTTTTAACATGATTTCATTTTCTTGCACTGATTTAAATAGAAATGATGCATTTTTCTGGCATGATTTTGAAATTTAGGGATATTTTGGTAAGTGCGCTTGCAGGGACTAATTTATGCATTAAGTCTAGGGATCTTAATAGCTACTTGCATTGTGCACATTTGCAAGTAAGCATCCTGAAACTGCAATTTTAAATACCGGTGAATTTTACTTAAGTATTATAAATACTAAAAACAGATTTTTAGAACTGTTATGCATGTAAACATAGTTTTGGAAACAATTTGCAGAACAATTTGGGGTGAAATACTCACTGAATTGCATATGTGAGGAGTGTTTGTGTAGTTACAACTATAGGATGAAGCCAGTACCTGAGCACTATTAGAAGGACAGCCTGATTATATTTACTGTTCAAGATTTGATGTGAACAAAGGATTAGTTGTTGCTGCTGTTTTTAAAAAAAAAAAAAATGCTTTTGCTTAAATAAATCTTTATTTACAGAAGCTGCAGAAGCCCAACTTGACAGTGTTAATGAATGCTTCTCAGCAGTTCAGGAAAAACAGTAAGCTATTTGGAAATGATTGCATGATATACTGATATATAAAAGTAGACTTGCTAAGTATTTTTTTAATTTTTTTTTTTTTTGCTATAGTAAATGAGAAAAGTAGCATTTTGAAGACACAGCACTTAGTCATTTCAGAAAAAAATAAGTCATATTATTAAAATGAAGATATTGATCCCCTCCTAAGCCTTAGTCCCTAGTCAAGTCCTTCCTCCATCCTGCCCATCCCTTACCTGGCTCCTTTTCCAGACATTCCTAGGTGACTGCTCTCCTGTGCATTAATCTGGTAACATGCCTATTGCTGTTTACATAACTTCTTTTGTTCACATGCATTTTTCTTTTTCTTGTGCTTTAAGATGACGGTGATGGTTCTAGAATTGAAAGTCCTAAGTCACCAAAGAAAAGCCTCAAACAAAGAACCTCATCAGATGCAAACCTGAACAAAGGAGAATGTGGAGAATTGTTGAATCAAGATGTCTCAGATGCAAGCAACCTGGAGGAAGAAGAATTGGAGGAGGAGGAGGAAGATGATGAAAATGACAATGGAGATGACGATGAAGATTATGAGGAGGAAGAAGAAGAGGAGGACGAAGATCTTACTCAAGATGAAAAGGAGGAAGATCTGGAAGATGAAGAAACTCAGTCTAATGACATACTGGAGGAGGAGCAGGGGGAGAAAACAGAACTGAAAGGGGAAATTAATCAGAAATTGGAGTATTTTAGTAACATTAAGTATGAAGGGGAAGCTCAGTGTGGAACTGGAGATGTCTGTGATGATGATCATAAAATAAATAAAGAACTTGATGAAAAGGTGGAGGAATCTGTTGATACTCCTGTGTCTTTTATAGCTGGGTGTTATGAAAGGTTGCAAGAAAAAATAACTGCCATGTCTCCAAAGGTAATGAATAATGAAGTATCTTGCAAGTCAGTACGAAAACAATCTGTCTTTCAAAATCTAAATAATTTGCAAGATACACAAGAAAGCTGGAAAAGGAAAAGCATGATTCAGGAGAAGTTTCACAGAAATGCTGACTCCTGTTTTGCAGACTCTGAAATGAAAAAAGAGATGCCTCAGCCTCTCTTGGATAGTTGCCTTAAGGAGAAAAAGTCAAGGTTCGGTGATGGCTTTGAAAGTGGTAATAATTCTTGGTCAGCAGCAAAAAACCCCAAACTTGAAAGTCAAAGACCAAATTCTGTCATTCGTGAACATGGGGATGATGAAGATACTGAAGAAGAGCAATATGAAGAAATAGATGATAAAGTCTGTGAAGCACTGAAACAAGGAAGTGAAAACTTGTGCTTAAATAGGCGTGAAGAAAATTTAAGAGCAGCATTTCACTCAAGCACCAAAGTAAGTATATAGGGATGATTCAATCACAAGGGTATTTTCTAAGGGTAATATAAGTAAGAAACAAATGATAAACTGGATTTCTGTTAATACTTATTCTTCACATATATCCATCTCTTTTGATCATTAGAAAATGTCTTACTCCTAGCCAAAGCAGTTTCTGAGGTATAAGAATAATACCAGGCAGTATTTTCAATAATTTTTTTTTCTATTGGTTACAGCAGTTTTGCAGGAAAAAGAATAGGTAGTAGACTTTTTCTGGAATCAATTACATTTTTCTCAGTTGTATGTACAGATTTTATCTGTGAAGATTTACTGCCATTTAGTAAAATTCATGGTGTGATGGCTGAAAGTGAGGAAACAAGTTTGGGTAAGATTGAGAGCAGGAAGCTAATGATTTTCCTTGGACCGAAGTAGGGGAAAAGGAGGAATGTGTTCTGGAATGATGTCACTTAAATGAAGTTAGAGTTAGACTGATATGAGGAAGTGCTTCTCAGGGGCTTTGCAGAACCAGGGGTGAGACTTACGACATTAGGCATTGCTGTCTACTCATATAGATTCCCATGGAAAAACTGAAGGCCTTGTAAAACAAAGCTCAACAAAGTTTCCCTTTTGTCTTACATAAGAAAAGTATTTTTCAAGTTGTCGATGGATGGCAAAGAAGATGCTTGTTTCTGTTCTTTCCAGCTGTTTTGGTCCATCTCTTTTAGGAAGAATCACCTGAATGGGAAGAAGAGGAGGAGGAGCAGGAGAAGGAAGACAGTGGTGAAGAGCTACAAATGGCAGTTGTTGAGGGTGTGAAAAATTCTGTTTGTAATGATAACCATCAAGTCCACAATGCTTCAAAAGACAATGCTGGTGAGAGAAATGAGTTAATAAATACTGATCCCAATTCTTCCTCTATCAATATTAATGCACAGTAAATAAACTAAAATGGTGATTGACTTCTGAGATAGCAAATTTTTCCCTTGCCTGTGAATCCTAGTGGGCATTGACAGAGACAGAAAACAGCTTTTGCTCCTTTTCATTCATCCTTGAAGGACTGAAATTGTGGCATTGGATTCCAAATGATGCTGTATGAAGCAAGTGCCGTTCTTGCTTTTGTTGCTGTGTTCTCCCTGAAGCTGTCTGAACAAAATGTGCAGATGAAAAAGAGAAGGACGACTAGAGTGTCTTGGGTATGACAGTAGTATTCGCCTTTCTGGCCCGTACTGTCGGATGGAAAAGCTGTGATTGCTCTTGGCTGAAGCCTGGGAAAGATTTGAGTCAAGCTGAGAGAAAGCTGTTTTGTTGCAGTGCCTCACCTTGTCCAGTTTTAAAATGTAGAAGGACTCTCCAGTGCCACACTTGTGTGTGCTTGAAAGCATTGCCAGCTCGATCAGAGTTGAGCACTTTGGTACTCACCTAGGTCTCAGAGCAGGAGGAGAAGGCACCATTTCCATTGTCTGTCTCCAGAGAGTAGCTTGGTGTGGTAGATGTTACCTGTGCATGTGTAGCTGCTGATCAAATACTACACAGGGGGCCTGGCAGAATCTGCTGTATTTGAGTGTTGTGCCTGTACATGCTCTTCTCTCTCTGTGCATTTTACTGTAAGCATGATTTCGGCATAGTGTAAGTAGTCAGAGCCCAGGCTGGAACCAGCAGTTGCCCTCTTCTGGAGTGGGTGCCCTCACGGCTCTCCAACTCCTTCCCCCTTCTTTGTGTGCACGTCTCCACACAAGTGAATCCTGGATCAGTTTTACCTAATGGAGTAGCTTAAAACAGAGAAATGAAGATAGTCTAATCTGGCCAGGAACCCACTGAGACTGAACCTTATGTCCGTCTGGTAGGGAAGAGGTTTGGATGTTAACCCCCTGAGACGAAAATGGCTTTTGTGTGTTTGGGGTGAGTGTTTGAGTTGTGAGCCTCTACTGTATTTTCAAATGGTAGTGCTTAGGTGTTTAGCTTATGGGAAGGTGCAAGATAACAACTCTGTCAAGGAAGATCTTTCCTGTAGTGCTACAAAAGGAGCATCATTTCTTGGTGATTTTAGTGATGTTAGTGTGAGGATGTTTTGGGTAGTGTTTCTACAGTACCTCCTGTACAGTGGAAAGTGGTAGTAAATGCCAAATTCTGGAGCTGTAGGCTGGCGAGCAGGTGACCTAAACTCTATACCACAGGACTGCAGCGTGCTGAAGTCTCCTCCTGAATGTTACCCAAACATGTGTTGGGTGTTGCTTGTAGCTGTCTGCTGTTGTGCATAGCCATTTTCTGCTGGAAAAGAGGCAAGAGGAAGTGGCCATGTAAAGGAAATACCATGATGTGTCTGAGTGTGAAGAAACCCTTGAATAATACTCATTTCATAGTTTGTCCTCAGCAATAGAACCACTGTGCATCTTTTGGATGCAGGGCTTGACTGATGGGGAAAAGCAGAGTGAAATATAAACACTCACTGTCTCATTTCTTACCACATTCGTAGGTGCCCTGCCAGCAGTGGAAGCAGAGGAAGAGGAAGATGCTGAATCTCCCTGGGATTCCGAGGTACTTTCTATGAAGGACACGGGGTTTCCCACAAGGGGATGAGGAGGTAGGAGTAAGGTCCAGAAGCACTTGAGAGCTTGCTTTTAACTTGGCCCTACCGTTGACGAAGCTTATTTCCTCTTTTCCTGCTTCTGCCATATGTTTGTAACTGGGGGCCCTTGAAATACTTCCGCTGTACGCCAGCTATTCAGTTAGGATTGGGATGAAGTCAGGTCAAGGTAACGACTTGGGTCTCATAGCAACTGGCCTTTGAGTTTGGTTTTTAGTACAGTATTGAAGCAGTGAAGTTTCTCACTGCTTAAAATACTCTGAGCTTTTCACAGGGGCTGGCAGGATTGTTGCTTTTTCACCATACGGCTCTGACCTGCTCAGTGGTTGCCCTTAGGGTCTACAACCTAGATGGTTAGCTGTTCCTGAATAGATCCTCTCTACCTTTTGTAGGTGTACTTCAGCCCTTTTGAAAGTCATGTTCAACAGAGATACCACACGTGCTGGCTGTGTTTGCCCTTTTAGTTCTTTCTGTCTGTGGTAATGGGCTAGAAGATAACGAGCAGGGTCTGTAGCTAACACCCTCTGGCTTTTCTTGTGAGGAAAAATGAACTCCTCCTCACCCCCTTCTTAAAAATACAAGACTAAAATTTTTTTTTTTTAGGTACCCTAAGTTTCTGTAAGCTTTGCCTCGCTAGTCTTTGTTCAACCCAAATCGCCCTTGCAATTGGGAGTAGCGATGTGTTTACTCACCACAGTTTAGATGAGTTGTGAGGTTTTTGCCTAAAATCTGAAAACACACACAACTGCTGTGATTTTCCAATATACTATGTCTTGATGTGTCCTATCAAAGGGTTTTGTATCTCTAATATACTTGATACCATGCTATGCAAGTTGGCTTAGCAGGAGCTTTTTGCATAGAAATGAGTTGAAAATGCATTTGTACCAATTCTCATGCATGTGTTTTAGATTATACAGACGGATTCTGAAAGTCCAAGAAAAGTATCATCCGGTGTGTTGCTCCCAGCTGCAGACAGACATGGGGCATGCTCACAGATTGTTTCAGGGGAACGCAACAATGGTAACTTCATGGTGGACTAAATGTTTGTCTGTAAGCATTTATAGGCTAAAGTGAACTTTTATCAGTGTCTGTCTTAGGAATGCTGCTATGATGTGGGTGTGCGCTATAGTAATGAAGTGCTTAGTATTTGTTAATTAACAGCAGTTGTCATGGCGCTTGCTGGCCAGTTTGTAAAGGAAGTTGTCTTGTTTGCATTATGTGTGTTCTTTGGATGTGTTTTATTTTTTTGAATTCATGTTCTTGTTGCATAGTGATGAAAGTATATGTGGTTTAGGACTGACATTTAAACATTCTGGGCTGATAATGCAGCAGAAGAAAGCTATGATCTGGCTATGCATATTTTTTTTTTCCCTAGCTTAGTTTTTGATAGCTTTCTGTTGTGCTTTGCATAGGAGCTAAAATGTGACTAAAAGTTCAGGTTTTCTTGCTAAGGGTTTCTGCCTGTAATTTGTGACACTGCCTCTTGCTATTGGGATAGAACTCTATTCTGAAGGATTTCTCCTTTAACAAATGGTATGTCAATCCTGCTTGTAGTATAGGTACAATAGGATAGCTGAAGAAACTAATCCAGTTTTAGTTTAGTAAGCTGGAAGCAAAACTTTACAAGCTCCTGGGAGCTTGTAAATCTGCTTGTTGAGTACTGGTTATGGAAGTCTGCTTTGTACGATTCTACTAAGACAAGCTTAAAATCAGTGTGAAAAGGGGGTCAAAGGTGATTATGGTAATCTTTCTAAGGTATTTCCATACTGCTAGACCACCAAGTTTACTGAAATCAAACGCTGTTTGTTTTTTGATGTTTTGTTTTTTTTTTTAAATACAAAAATTTCACTGTGGAGCTGTTCTTAATAACATTTCATATACTTCTTTCATGAGAGGACTCAAACTGTAAGATGACTAAAGCAGAGGATTTGAGAAATATAGGTGGGCCAATAGATTGTGTAGGTTTGGAAATGATTTAATGTTGGACAGAAATTTAAAAAAAAAAAAGTATTTGGAACAATGCTATAAATGGAGATTACAACCAAACAACATTTGTTTCTTTTGTTTCCTTGCAAGCTAAACCGGAACAATCTGTTGAGAACTAGCTTGATTTTACATCATTGATGACATGTGTATGAGGTTTCTGTGTCTGCACCCATGCTTTCTCTGACCCATCAATGGAAAGGAAAATACTCCTCAATATTAAACACTTGTAGGATAATCATAGTCGTAGTGCTGTTAGACTGTTTTATGGTTATTCATTACAGCAGACCAGCTTTGGCTTTTGAAATAATCCTTTTAGAAAGCAGGATTCAGCTCCTCAAAAGGACTAAATATTTTGATCTTGTTCTGTTAACAAGCATAACCTTATTGCTTCACATGAATTGTCCTAGTTCTGTGATGATTATTATTTTTTAAATCCAAGGTGCACAATGGGAAGTATGCATTGTCCATTTCTTGTATACTAATACAAATGCTGTATGATGAGGTAAACTGAATATTAGGTATTGTACTCTCAATGAAATAATGCTTGCAACTAATATGTAGTTGTAGAAACTACTTGTTGAATGAAGTAAAAGTTAAATGAAATAACACTTCCCAAAACATTTTTTACCTCTAGGCTTTTCGGAGAAACCCAGCAATTCCCAGGTAAGTATTTGTGTCAGACTGACTACTTGTTCTGCTCATTAAGTAGTAGTTACTTTTAATTTGGTTTTTTATCATTGGGTTGTGTCTTTCATAGCTGAAGACTCCTGAATCCGTTGTGGAAATGAATGAAACATCTCCTAAAAGGCAGCAGAAATCAGGTAATGTTCACTTCATGTGGTCCTGGGTTTAGGTTCATAATCTTTCTGGATAGGAGTATTTAATAAAGCATATGACTTGTTTTGCAGATCTATTGGAGGAATTTGGTTTAGGAGATGCAGAGGATATTGAAGGTATTCGTAATAGTCTTTTTGTAGTGTTCTTTTATGGACAGACACATTGTACTCGCAATTTTTTTCCTGATATTAAATTGATGGTTTTAGCCAGGTGTTCTGGGAGCAGAAGGTCTACTGAAATATGCCTCTATGCATGTGTGTGCTCCCTCCTCTAGTCTGCCATTCAACACTGTAAATACCCTTCTATGTTGTAGGCTTCCTCCACCATACTTACTGTCATCTCCCTTTTTCAGGCAGTCCTCAAGTTTGCTTTCCTTCCAATTTCTCAAAAAAAAACCTTCCTGATATTCCTGGTTCTCTGAGCATGTGCTGTGGCTGATTCCAGGCTAGGGATCTGGAAGCTAAGTTGTCCAGGAGCTGTGGGCGAGACAGAAAGGGTAATTATTGGGCTCATGCTGTAGCTGCACTTAGCAGGAATTATTACGTGCCTGGCTTTTCTGTATGTCAGGCAGTTGTTTTGAAACATGTAGCAAATACATTCCTCTGAGGCCTCCCCCTCTTTTATCATGGAAACTGACCGGCAGGTTCAGAGGGGAAGGAAGTGGAGAAGAGAGACAAGGTGGGAGGAAATAACAGTGTCAGCGTGTTGTTAGGAATTCTCTTTTCTTTGGAAACAAGGCTAAAAGTAAAGCAGCTAGCTGGTCGAGAGGATATATGACCATAATAGTTATTTAGTTTCTTTGTTCTAACATTTATCGATTTGCATATTTGTTAATGAAATGAGAAACAATTCCCCATTCAGGTTTTAGAGTTTCTAGAATCAGCTATTGAAAATATAAACCAGAGAGAGGTGAACAGATATGTAGGCAAGTAAAGTAGGTAACCAGAAAAAATTTTTTTAATTACTGTAACTTCTAAGTATGGAATACAAATAGTTCCAAGTTCTTTGGCATCTTTGTTTTAGGGGAAAAAGAAAAAGTAACGTTGTTCTTTTGACAATAATAGAAATTAAACTTCTCTCTGGGAAAAAGATCTCTCTCTTCTTCCTCTCGCCCTTCTTCTCTCTCTCATGTATTCACAATGGTAAGCAACAACAGGTCCTCTTTTGCCCTTTATTTTGCAGTGATAGTGTTTTTGTAACATGCATAGAGGATTGTTAAAAGTTGTTCAGCTAAAACATGAATATTTGTTTTTTATGTATTACACAGTAATGTGAAATGTAGCCCTATAGTGGACCAGTATGTTAGAAAATTACAAATGCAGAAAGGAAAGACTGCCTTTTCATAACACAAATATTTCTAACCCTAAAAGGGTTGAATGCCACCCTTCACAAGTTTATTTCATAAATCTGGAAAACAGATACAGTATCTTGCATAATTAAATGTTGAATGAGAGATTAAATTTCCCATTCTATTTACTTTTTTACTGACTCATAGTAATAACTTCTTAAAATCTATTTTTGGATCAAAATTAAGTAGTGATGTTCTCGTGTTCTGTACAGAAGAGTAGCTGCTTTGCACTGTAATCTGCAAAAAGTCATTATGTAAGACAAGTTATGAGGAGGGAAATCTCAGAAGAGAGAGGAGAGGTAAAGGCTAATTGGAAAGAACACTAAAAGTCGTCTTTCAATGCTAGCTAGAGAACAGGCAGAGTAAAAGGTGGGGGATTTGCACAGGAATTTCTCTGTATTTATGTTAGGCACGAAGCCAGATTCATCTAACAACCACTGCAGGTATCCATTAATAAAAATATAAGCTAGTAATAAACGTCCGTCAAAAATACTGGAATTTAATTGACTTTGTGAGTTTTTGATATACACTTTTTAAAATGACGAGCTCTTCAGAAGCTTCAGGCTAGAGTTCTACCAGTGTTTTAACTAAAAATTTCTCCCTGTGCTAAAAGTGAAAAACTCTTGACAATGAGGAGTCATCCCTCTTTCACAGTGTTGACAGAAGACAATAATACAGAAAATAGACTCATGAATTACTGCTCCAAGAAGAGAAGACATTTTACTTGCAACACCTAATGGGAGAAGTCCTTATTTTTTTTTTAGTTTGTTTTTGAATTATTTTTCCAGTGGCTTAGAGATTATAACATGAGAACTGGAGTTTTGCAGATGGAAGAACATTTGCCTTTCATCTTTCCTGCCTTTTTCCTTGTTCTCTGCCCATTGTACAGAAATTTCAAGATTGATTAAACCCTATGGAAAAGAAATCTTATGGCCTCCAAAGATCCTAAAATCTTATCTAAAGACTGAGACTTCAGACTCAAATAGCGCTGCTGAAAACTTTACTGTTGACCATGACGGGCAAGACTGAACAGAAGTTCAGGTTGCTTTTGATTATAGCAGTATGGCACCTAATTTTCAAGTGTCTGGACTCTGAAACAGAATCCAAAACATTAAGACACCTACATACTCTGAACAGAGAATGTGAATTGCATGTTTAGAAGGCCAGTACAAAACTATGGGTGCTGACAGGTCTGCTTTTGTCCAGCTTTCAGGCAGATACAATTGACCAGAAAAGCTTGTTCAGTCTGTGTTGTGCAGTATTCTTCATGAAAGGTGTCACAGCACTCCTGCATCCACAAGATACTTAGTCTATCTTTTAAGCAAAATTTTGGGGTCCATGTTACATGTGTGAGTGATCACACATATCAAGTTGTATGGTAGGAAGCTGCATGCATGTTGCAGTTTGTGACCTGAATGAACATTGATGAAGTGACAGAAGAAATCTGGTAAGCGTACCTTTATGAAAACCGTGTAGGAGCAGTCCCATCTGTCTGAGAGATTGACCATCCCCTGCTGTGCTTGGAATGGAGAGGCTTGTAGGGGTAGTAGAAACTCTGAGCACACTGGTGCATCTAGACTCTTCTCTTTCTAGGAGATATTGTTACCACCCAAGAGGCTTATGTGCAAATTACTAACATACTGGGTGCCTGTCTGTGCTCAGTTCTGCTCTCCTGAGTTATTTTCCTTTTGTTTTCTGAAAGGATGTTACAACTCAGTGTGACGTCTGTGCAGATACTTCTCTTGGATTTCATCAGGCTCCAATGCTTCTGGCCACCCCATCCAGAACTATATGCTCAGTGAGGGAGGAACTTGCTGGTTCAAATTATCCAGCCACATTAAAATTCTAGTAAGAGGGACAAGGACCCATCTACAAAAACTATGCATAACTATTGGAGGAAAGGAAGATGTTGATCTCCAAATTATGGAGGTTATTTGTAGAGGAGCTAAACGTTTACTTTATCAATACCAAGATGCTTGGAATATTTATGATACTCTCTACAGTACCTTCTGTGGTGCTTGACCACCAGCACATCTGTCCTCTATTTCTAATGCTGGTTGGAGCCTTCATCTGCACCAGCAAACAGCTTGGTATTGGGATATCTACAAGCATCAGTAACGGCTAAATCTACTCTGTGGTCTTGAAAAACAAGAAAAAGGGAGAAATACCTGTTTTCCTTATAGAACATTATCCTTAGATAACCATTAATTATTGTTGTTATTATTATCTTTAATACTCATCAGACTGTCTGAAATGCGTCATAGTCATCAATAGATCATCATAAAAATCCTGTGAAATAAGTGCTGTCAACCCACTAATGACTAATGTGTGTTGGGAAATGCCTTGTGCTAAAATACCCAAAGAAGACATTAACAAAAAATCTAGGAAATTGCACCCACCAGTGATGGAGATGGGAGGAGAAGGTTGTTATTGCACACCATGTAACTTGAGGTTAGAATCAACCTCTGGAGACCTGTATGACTGACTGAGGAGCTTAGGTTCCCAATTCAGACATAGAGTTGTAACTCTAAGCTTGTATCTAATGTAATCCCGTTCAAGAAATGAAAGTTTGCAAAAGGAGTCACCTAAAGCAGAAAATGCCAGAAGTGAGGTTGGCCATTTGTCTTGTTAATGTAAACATACTCTTGTATGTTTACGATGATACCTATTTTCTCCATGTCTTGCTCACTTTTCTTGTAGGAAGAATAGAATATTGTGTCCCTCTTTAGCAGTGAAGCTTTGTGTACAGAAAGGCTATTGCATAGAAACCATAGAATTATGGAGCAGGAAAGGAGGTGCAGAGTGATTAAGGTGAAAAGCCTCCATCTCTGTTTTTTAGATGCCACACTTGAGCTGCTGGGACTTGTTTCTTTCTGAATACTTGATACTTCAAAGTATTCAGTGTGCCTTCCACACAAACAATGACAATGAGTTGCTGCTTTTAAGTTGTATCTGGGACTATTTGGAGTCCAATTCTCAGATGTAAGAGAGATTCAAGGTAGGCACCCCATAATGGGGAGCCCAGAGTTTGTGACCTGTCCAGTATTACTTAGAAATTCTGAGAGAGGAAAGGGTGGAATCCAGTTTTCAATGGTACAAGTGGAACATCTGGATCACAGGTTGTTTTTCAACATTTCACAAGCCTGTCTCATTCAGTGTTCCATCTGTGTCTTCTGCAACAGATGAGGCAGCAGTTTGAAATACTCAGTCCAGACCCACGTCTAGAGACAGATTTGTTTCATGCATGGAGTAAAGCTGGGGCCTTAAAGATTTCAAGACTGTGATTTTGTTGTTTGTGATCTTCTGTGCACAACTCATAGGGAAATTAAGATTGCTGGAGGAATGTAGCTAGTTACTGCATGGCACACAGTGTGTCACCCCTCCCTTCCTCCTTCCCTCCCTCCCTCCCTCCTTCTCCCCTCCCCCCCCCTTTAAGAAACAGGAATGTTTTATTTGTGTCCATTTATAGTGATTTATACATTAGAAAGTAAAATGCCCTGGAAGAAAGGAATTCACACAGATGCTTCATAAATCTGTATTATGATAATTTTCTCTCTAGGAGTTCACAAATTTGAGGGGATGTGTTATTTTGTGTTAGGATTTTTCTCACAAATATGATTCAAGATGCACTCTAGGTGTAAATAAGTAGTATGAAGTCACACTGGTTATAAAAATACTTGTTTTTTACTGTAGGTGAGTACTCAGGATCTACCTTTCATATGTCGTCATCATCTGAAAAAGAAGACATCAAGGATGCTATTGAAAACTATGGGGTGCGGGTATGTAAAACCAAGTATTTGGAATTAGCGTCTGAATTGGTAAATTGTATTATACACTAAGGTAAAGAAAACTTACCAGTTAGTGAATAATGGTGAAGGGAGAGTCCTGTAGATGAAGGTTGTGTTATAGTTTGAAGTAAAGTTGGATACAATTTGCTTGTGGTGGGGTAAGATCTTTGTCGCTGTGTTGGATACTTGCTGTTATACTGATTTGTTTACAGCTGGTTTGCTTAAATTTTGACCAATGATTTTCTTTTTGTGCGGTGCTGAGAAACAGTGCAGTCAAATGCATTCTTTTTTCCCTATGCAAAATGCACGTTCAAGTAAAGAGGAAGATTTGTCTATAATCTGCCGATGTGTTTGATTAAACACATCCAGTCATCTCCTTTGTAAGAGAAAGGTCAAACAAAAAACCTTGCAATTTGGTGACCTTCCTGATGCTTTCCCTGCCTCTGCAAAATATACCTTTGTTTGGCCATATTAATAAGTGTTTGAAAAGGGTTTTTTTTCAGAGGGCATTCTAGAGGGGAATAAGGCAGGCGTCCTGTTTATGTTGGGCATACAGGACAGGGCTGGATAAAGGGATCTGGAGTCTTCTGTAACACCTCAAGCAAGTTATTTCCACCCCACACCCAGGCACTGTGAAAGAGGGACATGCTTAATTTTAACAGGCAGGGCACAGAACATAAGCCTATTGGAAGGTGGTAGTAGTTGGGCGATGAACTTGGAAATGGAGAGGCTGAGACAGATGATGGCTGGCTGAGGTGCTCCTTCCCTGTTCTGACAGGAGGAATTTTTGCAGAGGGAGAAAAGGGCCTGGCTATCGAGAAAAGAGAGCGAGGAGTTGGACAGTATTAGCCCATTGGGATACTAAGGCTGCAGGCCCTGTTCAGAAGGGACCACGAGCTAAGGAGGCATGTGGGGAGGGAGCGTGTTGGGAGGAGTTTGGCACATGACAGGAGCAGTCAGAACTGTTGAGGAACAGAGCATGGGGTTGGGGACACAAGGAGACTGGGTGGGGTTGAGGCATGGTATGTTTTTCATGCAAGCTTGGGTTTCTGATTTTTGGGATAAGGGAAGGGATAGACAGGTTTCCCTAATAAATGCTTTTCTTTGGAGCTTGGAATGTAATTTAATATTTCTGAGTCTTGGGTGAAGAAATAGTCCTAACTTAGCCAATTCTTCTTGTGGTGGACAGTAAAAGCTTGTCATGTTCATTCACATTGTATTAGCTCAGCTGGCAGGGGACTGTAAAATGCCAGACAGAGAATGATGGAGGAAGGAGAGTGGGAAAAGGTAGGCAGTTGTAATGAAAAATGGTATTAAAGCAATAAAACGTGAAAAAATAAATTGCTTTGTGACAAATGCCACCAGATACAGAAAGCAGGCAGGCTAAAAGGTAAAAGCAACCCTAGTGTCCACACAAATCTAATCCAAGAAAAACTGTTGTCTCTAAAGGAAGTCCTTCTAATTTTAAGAAAATGGTGATTCAGTGATCCTTTAATTTGGTATCCCTTGATTTTTATTATAAACAATTGCTTTCAAAATGTCTTATTTCTATTATTTCTGTTATATGATAGGATGAGTGTGCAACAGAAATTACCTAGATTAACTGTAACTTCCTTTTTCTTGGTAATCTTTCTGTCTGTACCTGTTTACTTAAGGATAAATATATTTTAGAAACTACCAACTTGATAGAAAAAACAGCACATGAAAATCAGACTGACAAAGCAGAAACTTCACATCAGGAAGCCCTAGCAGAAAATGAGGAATCGCACAGTGCTGACAAGCAGTTAAGTCCAAAACCTTGGGAACAAAGATATGAAAGAATGTGGGTTGAAAATGAGAAAAGGGAATTGAAAACAAATTTTAAAAACATTACAGCAGAGCTGAAGCAGCTGTTTGGTGAAATTAATGAAACTGGGAAAACTACTTCTCTTGTGGAAGAAGTGTCAGAAGATGGCTTCAGTGAAGAATTGAAGAGTTCTCATGTTGTTTCATCCCGTGCGACAGAAGCAAGTAATAAGTTAGAAAGTAAAGGTGAATTTGGAGGTATTAAACTTACGCTAGTTGGAAAAGAACCCAAAATGGAAATTGTAAATCCTAGTCTTGCTGTCCTTTCTGATCAAAATAACTTAAATGCAAATGTGGAAGATACCTGGAGTACAGATGAAGAAGATAGCACAAAGGATACAGATAATACAAAGATGCCTCTAGAAAAAGGAGAGGAAAAGAAAATGCCTACTATGGAAAAGGAAGAGAATGAAAATGAAAGTAGTAGAAATGTAGAGGGAAGTCCTGAATACTCCCTGAGATGTTTAAAAGCAAGTATTTTGGATGACGTTTCTAATATTCTTCCTAAAGTAAGACCTGTTTCTACAAGTAATGAAAATGCATTTCTTGTAACAGAAAGGAAACTTGGAAAAGACTCTGGATTTAATGATGATGTTCCCAGGGACTGCCTTATCGACAACAATAAAATAGGAGAAACAGAAATTGACAGTCTTTCTGCAAATGCTCAGCAATCGTGTGGCATGCTGAAAGGCAATCTTGATGAAGAATTAAAACAAGATATGGAAAGATTTAAAAGTAAGGTAGGAATGCTGCAAATAGTATTCCTGGCTTTGGAGAAAGAGAAGGTACAGCTGCAAAAAGAGGTAGAAGTTCGTCTGCTACTCCTTATCCTTTAGTCTTTCTCCATATCAATGGTCCTGTTCACTTTAGCTATTCATCATTAAGGGAAGATGCTTTGTGCAAATTGGTTTTTGTTTTAACGGAAATACGTATGAATAAATAGAGCAGTGGAGAGTTGTCCTTTTCCCCATTATGTAATTAGAAGGTTTTTGGAAAACACAGAATGCATTATTGTTCCAGTTTAACAATAGGTGGCACTCAGTTCCAGTGTAAGTAGTTATCACTTCATTGCCATAAAAAGAAATGCACAGAATTACATCAGTTCTGATTCTGAATCAAAGAATGAAAATAGCTTCTGAACAGGGTCTTGACTAATCTATTCATTTGCTGTGATTTCTGCATGGTGTGTCTTCATTGCCTTTCAATAAAATTCCTGTTTGCTGTGAAACCATTTCTGCTTGTGGGTTTGGGATCTCTTCCTCTGTCCCATATTAAGGAAACAGTAGCCCAGCACAGTTCCACTTGATTTTTTTCTGTGTTTTTACAACTAGCATTGTGCAGCCCTTCTAACTCTTTGTCCATCAGTAACGCTTTCACTTTTTTGTTGTTCATGTTTTAAGATGCACTATTGTTTTCTTTCCAAGGGCTGTGTTTTTGTTATATCTTTAATCATGAGTGAATTCAAAGTACTTTCAATGACTTGATACACTTTGTAGTGTAATTTTGTGAAAATGCTTCTCTATTTGAATTTTTTTTTTTTGTCATTTTACATGATTTCAGAGGTAAACCCTGAATTATTCCATCTTGGATATGGCATTTCTCTCTTCTAGAAATACTGAGAAATATATGAAACTTAACTTTCTTTTTGTAGGTTGAGAAGGAAAAAAGCAAACAAAGATGTTTCAAAACACAGGCGGTGGCAAAACAGGAAGATCTTGATAAATTAAATACACCGGCAGGCAACGTTACTAATCAGCAAATGAAACAAAAGCTTACTCTAAGGAAGAATGACTGTTTGAAAATGGAGAATGAAAATACTGTGGAAGAAAATGACAAAAATAATTTTTCATCTGAGGAGAGATCAAAATTGATTAAAAAGCCAATGAAAGGGTAAACTAAGGAAATAATCTCTAATTCTTATTTGTAGTACTACTTAAGTATCTTTTAGGTTTTCTAACATTGTAGTAGTTGAAGTGGTTTCCTCAATGCTGAAAGCCATACTGAGTAGTCCACTGCTTCTCAAACATTTAAGAAAAAAAAAAATTTTTTTTAGAAAAAACTAAGCTCATAATGGAGGTTCAAATTTATTTCCTGCTTTAAAAAAAGGAAAAAAAAGAAAAAAAAAAAAGAGAAACCAAATTCCTGTGGATTTCCTTGTCAATACGTGTCTTCAAAACCAGAGTTGAAGACTGGAAAAAACAGTTATTTTTGTAGGAAATGGCCATCCAGAAAAGAAAAGTAGGAGCTTGCAGTTTACTTTGCTTTCTCCCTTTTCTAGGTGATTTTAGTGATCTCCATGCAGTTGGTGTTTTCCTTTTCATTAAGTTCAGATGCTCTTTGTCAGGAAAAGGGAGAAGATATTACCAAACCAATCTCAAAAGTTTGAAGAAGGCACAGATATTTTTATGTAACCCTAAGCAGGAGTTTTTTCCTGTCTGTCCTTCAAAGGAATCTCTGCTCTAGATACTTCCTCTAAAGGGGACATTACGTATGTTCAGCTTACCGAGCTCAGATTCCATGTTTCCCCCTTATTCCTAGGGGAAGGTTTTTTAAATACTTGGGTATCTTCCATGATCTTTGGAGTCAAGTCTGTGTTTTATCATAGATATTTTTCATCTCAGTTGTTTCTGGACATCATCTTAAGTATGTTTGTTTCACAGAAATATTTTATGTAAAGTTACCTCAATTGGTGATTTTGATTTCCCCCCCCCTCCCTTTCTGTTTAACGTAGTCAATTTGTCCTGAATGCCAAAGTTGCAAAGAAAAATAAAAGACATACTTCAAAGCAGAAGGCTAATCAGCAGATGAGCTCTTCCAGTGGGAATAATTTTCAAGTACTGGATGATAGCACTTTCAGTGAAACATCTCAAGATGAAGGAAGGTACTGAATATAAGGAATGTTATAAATAAAACTTACTTAATGATAAAAATTGACCTGAAAGCTAAAGGGAAGTTTTGTAAACCTGATGTGTACAATGATTCTTTTTCTTTCATGTGACAACACTACCTGATGGCCTTTGTGTTCGAAAACACTTCCTTTTTGCTTGGAGTGCTTTGAACAGACTAGCCAAGTTAATGATAAGGTCAGGTGTGCACAAATTCTGAACTACCTGAGTGTGTGCACATGCGTAAATACATATATTTTATATTTTTAAAAAGTGAGAGGAGAGACTTATAGAAGAGCAAAATTACTCTTTCACTGCAGGCATCTCAGTTTTTTCTGCCTTTTTTTTTTTCCCAGCTGTGTCCCCTCCCAACTTCTTGCCCACCTGGAACTTCCTTGTGTGGGAGGCAAAGTGAGAAACAGAAGGTGTTGACACTGTACAAGCACTGTTCAGCAACAGCTAAAACATTGGTGTGTTATCAACACTGTTTTGGTCAGAAAACTAACACACAGCACTGTGTGGGCTTCTATGAAGAAAATTAACTCCATGCTAGCCAGACCCAGTACACTAGAGAATCCAAAATTACGGTTCTTTGACCTGTAAGAGAAGGATTCTCAATATTGAAGAGAGCTAAACCTCTAATATTAAACATAACTGTATATCTGCATATCTGTAGCTGTAAGATTCGTATCATTTTGAGTGAAATGCAGAGAACAGTTATTTCAACTATTTGTTTAATATCTTGTGGAGAAAATAGCCTTCCAATAGTCATAATAGTACACAATTTTTTTTTCAGTCTTCAACTACATCTAACAAAATTCTTATATTAAATTTTAGTTAATTCAGTTCTGAAATTAAGTTTTCAGAGCAACTGTAGATATTGTTCATAATGCAATATAAGCATTCCTGTACTGAAATATATTTCTATTTTCCAGACCTGCAGCAAAAACAGGGAGTGAAAAGAACAAGGTACTGTAAAATTAGTCTCTTGATAAATAGTTTATATCAGCTTTTAATCACTTAGATGGGAACAGCATTTATGTAGTGATCAACCAGATGCACAAATTGCTGCTAGTATGCAACTTTATCATATTTGAGCCAAATCTATGAGCTGTGCGTGAGAGAATGAATCATTCATGCATTTGTAATGATCTGTAATACTACATAGTTGTATACAGAAAATATTGTATTGTTTGTAGGTCAGCATACAAATGGATGTAACTGATGACCTTGATTTAACTCACTCATCTGACACAACTTCAGAGGATGTCGAATTACCAACTTCAACCTACAAAGAGGCTATGTTGCTGTTAGAACAGCTTAGTGTGGATCATACGGGTATGTTTTCAAGTGACTTTGTCTTCAGCTTTTACAAGGTCCTCTTTTAAAACATTATTTCTTTATATGCACTGCTAGGTATTTTAGTTTTATATTTTGATCTAATATTTCTTCTGATTAGAGATCCCCCTCAAAAGATGAGTAATTATCTCACGTAACCTTAGACGTCTGCCTGTATTGTCAGCAAACATGCCTTACTTCATCATTGGTTCTCTGTCTAATCAGAGCTGGAGAAGCAGGTTCTTGCAAAGTAGAGTTCAGCTCCTTCTAATGCAGTCATCGAAAGTTAGCAAAATCTTCTTTTTCCTCTTTATATCCCCCAATAGCTAATGACAAAT